CTAAAAGAAACGATTACTATCATTAGTTATGATTTTTTTGTGTAACGAAACGTTTTGAAGCGCTTGTCAGTTGTCGGCTGTCAGTGTCAATATTATCTTTCATTCGCTCTCTGCGTTTCCGTTGTTTTCGCGTTATTTATCATTATTGTTTTGTTTTTTAAACAAAAACTGCAAGTTTTACAGGTTTCAGGACAAATGTTTAGGTATCGGTAATTAATACACTACACGATGCTGAATACTACATACTTGTACATGACTTCTAATATAGTGGGTCAAAGATGTACTGAGCACCTGGCATTGTCCTTTATCTACCAGACGGTAGGGAACTGCCCTATTGTGATTAAACCGTATTTATTAAAAAAATGTGTATGTTGTATGTTCTAACATTATTAGATGAGTATCATTACTAGATTATTTAGATATTATCCTCTATTTCAGCTACCTAGGTTTCTACGCCTACATAGTGGACACAATAACGGCTCCGTCTGCGATAGTTCGGTACCTGTGTCGGAACTACGGCATACATCGAGTGCCCATTGGAAACGAACATACTTACAAGAATAGCGGAAACGTGCCCGCTCATATCAACTTCTTTTTTACTGGTGAGTGATGTTATCTTTGCCTTTTTTATGCGATAAGCCGGTAGACGAGCAGACAGATCACCTGATGGTAAGCAATCGCCATCGCCCATGGACACCTGGAACACCAAAGGCGTTGCAAGTGCGTTCCTGGGCTTTTGGGATTAGGAGTTTTAAGATTGGTGGGGATTCGGGGATTGAGGAGGGGGGGTAATTGTGCCTCCGATAACCTCACTCATGCGGCGAAACACAACGCAAGTGTTGTTCTTTTTTTACGGGGATAATCCCATAAAAAAGAACGAGGTAGACGAGCAGACGGATCACCTGATGGTAAGCAATCGGCGTCGCCCATGGACACCTGGAACACCAGAGGCGTTACAGGTGCGTCTTTTGGGAATTTGAGGATTGTTGGGGATTCGGGGATTAGGGAGACTGGGGAGGGGGGGGGGGTGTAATTGTGCCTCCGGTAACCTCACTCACACGAAGATCTTCACGATTACTCTTAATTACATCCTGATCCCTTCAATCGTCTTGCCGAGATTGCCTTACAGCAAACATACACACAGATTCATTTAAAAAACTTTCATATTTATATATTTTTTCTTATTGTTTGTTTTATTTGAGGACTGTTCTGTTTTGTTTTTTTTTTCTTTTATAATTATTTGAAATGTATAACGCCTTGGTTTTATAACTGTAATGTTATACTATTTAATTGAAATAAATAAATAAATAATATTACAAAGATAGGGGGACAGATTTGTATGATAGTATGTTTGTAGAACGGGTCCGCTCAAACTGTTGTAGTTCTTTCCTCAAAAGGCCACTACAGAGAGAACTGGCACGGTTCTCACACATAATCTGTTATACACATTTGTCTGGACTTTAAAAGAGACAGACCTCTGAGTTTGTTTCGGCATTTCTTCTCAGAGTAGTCAGTTATGAAATGTCGACCTCATCGTTCGCTTGATAAAATTGACGTGTAAAAGTGCTGCCTTGTAGCCTATTTGCAGAAATAAATTCACTTGATTCACTTGATTGGCTCAAAAACTACTAGACGGATTTAAAACATTCCTTCGCTGTTTAGATACAAAATTATTATCAATGATAAATTGCAGAGGACATCCATAGTCCAGCAGAGGACTCCCATGGTGATAATTAAAAAACGTTTTTCTTTTCCAGAGAACCATAGATTCTCAGTTCGTGTGTCTAAGTATAGCGGGGAGAAGTCGACGTCAACGACTGAGGTCCGACCGGCGAAGCTTCTAGCGAACACCGTCGATGTTGATCAAATCAATAATTTTAATAAACAGTAAGTAGTTTATTATATGTTTTCGGCTTTCTCACGTAAGTGTTTTCACGTGCTTCATTCCACGACCCGCGACGAGGCGGCTGTGCCGCTGCTGAGATAGCCGAATACATAATAATTAATTTAATTAATTTAGTATATCTCACGAAAGTCTAATATATAAAATTCTCGTGTCACAGTTTTCGTTGCCATACTCCTCCGAAACGGCTTGATCAATTTTGATGAAATTTTTTGTGCTCATCCGGTAGAATCGGCCAACATTTATTTTTCATCCCCCTAAATGTTAGGGGTAGTTCAACCCTAAATTTTTTAAATAACTATGAAATTATTTATATGGCTAAACAACGTTTGCTAGTTATAATTAAGTATTAACTTTAAAATCTCGTTTTTAAATAAAAGAAACAATGTTACAATCAACTTTTAGCTGTTTTATCAAAGGCGTTGAAAAGAAAAGGAGAAAATGTCATTTAGAAATGATTGAAGCACAAAAACGTCAGTGGTGTATTTATACAGGTACAGTGTATTAATAAAATTAATTAATTTTTCCATTACAGGCTGTCCGCCTTCGATGAGACTGCGCAGTCGCATAGAGCGACTATGCAAGAGATTGACAGGAATCTCACGGATCTGGAGAGTTCCCTAAACGAGTTGAATATGAGGAGGAAGGCTATTAATGAGGGAGTTGAGAAAGTCAGTATCTTATTTATATTACTTAATATTATAAACGCAATAGGTCCTCGTGATTGCCTCGTTGGCCGAGTGGTTGCAAGTGCGACTCTTCCAAGGGGTCTCGGGTTCGATTCCCGGGTCGAGCAACGTATTACTGGATTTTTGAAAAAAAAAATCTCAATAGTAGCACGGAATCTGGAATTGTGCCCGGTATATGTCAATAGGCCCCTAAATAGTGAAAAGCTGGTTACATTGTACAGTAACAGTAGCATTGAGTGCCGTAATGTGCATCTCTGCCTACCCCTTAGGGGATACAAGACGTGATGTTATGTCGACGACGTGTGACATTGTGTGACAACGGGGAGGGACGGGTTCTAAACTTTGTGATGTAACATTTCAAAAACTATTAGGTATAAAACACGAAATATAATTGTATTAATGTGTTTTTAATCTGTTTGATTTGGTATTAATATTTTTTTTATGTAATTATATGGAAATAAAACTGATTTCGGAACCGCCGTCTTTATACATACGCAATAGGCGTGTCGACAGGGTAAAAAAATCAAAAAAGTAATTAGTCCGTCATTAAGATCGCACGAAAATATCAGACACGTATTTTTTGTTTTATCAAATTAACAGAAGAATACGTAGTTATTCCGCATTAAAGTTAGGGAGTGGGGGGGTTGACGTCACACTTACGGAGAAATCGTACCTAAGTGTGACGTCACGCGTCATTTTAACTCAAAATATCTACATGTTTTTTTGGATACGAGAAAAAAGAAAAAATACGTATCGAAGATTTTTAAAATATCTAAAAGACGGACAAAAAATTAAAAAATAGTCGCCATGCCTATTCTGCAAAATGTGACGTCACACTAGGGGGGGGGGGGTCTCACAAATCTGACTAGCTGTGACAAGGACGGAGGATGGGAAAAAAAATCTTGAAATTCGAGTGACCGTAATTTATGGATTAGCAGAAAGTAGTTTTACTCAAAACTTCAAGAATGGTATGTTACCCCACAGGTGCGAACAATAACAGCCCAAATACGCATACAAACGAAGAAAGTCGAAGATATAGAGCGAGAAGCAACGTTTGACATCGAACAGGAAAGACATCGCTGTAGACAGAAGCAAAAAGTCTGTGTCCTGAAACAGTGCAATAGTCACGTAGAACTGAAACATTGCTACACTACACTCTGTGAGGAAACGAAAAAAGCTCAATTGTGGAAGGTAAGTCACTTTTATGTAGTTAGTTCAGACTGCCTCGTTGGCCGAGTGGTCGCAAGTGCGACTGCCAGGGGTCTCGGGTTCGATTCCCGGGTCGGGCAAGTATTACTGGGTTTTTATAAAAAAAAAAATCTCAGTAGTAGCACGGAGTCTGGAATTGTGCCCCGTATATGGCAATAGGCTCACCCCCTATTACATGGGACTCATAACATAAATAGTGAAAGGTGGGTGTTACTTCTGTGTGCACCTCTGGGGGGGGGAGACCGACATTGGTATTGTGAAATTTCGTACTCTTGAGTTGCAACACTAGCGCCCATTGCATTTCACTGCGAGGGCCGCCCGGAGGACACGGTGGAGCATGCGGGGGCGTTGTGTCCTGCGGGGACTGAGCACCGCCGTGTCCTCGGGGATGTGGTCGGTGGCGGCGACCTCCCCGGCCGGGACTGGAGCACGCCATAGTGCGGAGCGAGGGGGACTGGGGTGTGGTCGGTGGCGGCGACCTCCCCGGCCGGGACTGGAGCACGCCATAGTGCGGAGCGAGGGGGACTGGGATGCTGTGTCCTCCCCAGCCGTCGCGGACACACTCCGGCGGCGGAGATCGCGCGACGATCTCCGGCCACCGTAAGTGCGGGTCTGCGGGCGGCGAGCAAGGATAGCTCGCCGTCCGACCTGAACCAGACCCGAGCGTACGGCGCGCACCTCAAAGGGCCATCAGACCACCAGAGATGGGGACCAGCAGGGCTGATGCCCGATACAGAACCGGGAAGGCCTGCCGGCTTGCCGGGACTCCGGCTCGACGTGCCGGAGTAGGAACGTGGTGGTTTTTAGTCAGTAAGAGTCTGACACTCCCTCCCGCCTCACCCAAGGCGGGATAAGTCAGTATATGATTTTCCCCCTTTAAAAAAAATAAACGATAAAAAACAGCTACGATAGGGGTTATATAGTGTTAACATTGAACAATTGTTGGGATTTTATTGGATTGAAATTGTTTTTTGAGATTGGTTTCAAAAGTAAATAACACCCTGGTCTGACCTGGTTTCTTGGTCGAAGACACTTTTTGGATGTCTATTGTATTGTTTTGTTATAGTCAAGAAACTGAAAAAGATATGTTGTATTAAAAAATCAGTAGAAATGTATGTTGTGAGTTACAACTAATTTATTTCTTGTTTTACAAAAGTTTCATATAAAAATGCAAAAGTAACAATCTAATATAACGCGTTCATCCAATTCTCAAAAACCTAAGCAGTACAATTCTAGTTACACAAATATATCACAATTTTACTTTAACACGTAACCACAATGTTTACTTTAACTAAAAATTGCGGGTTACTCACGTGAATATACTGAGAAAAGCTCTACTAGTTTCGAACCTCAGAAGCGTTCTTCCTCATGAACAGCGTGCGCGGTCGCGGCAATGTCGCACAGCCTATTACAATGTTTACTACTACAATCCATTATCCTTCAAAAATCTTTGACGCGCGCTCAAATCCGCACATACCAACCTTTTCTCTCTATAACAACCATTTTGATAAAACTCTTCGATTTCTTGCAACGTCCTGTTCCTTGTATCGGGGACGCACGCATACACAATAACTCCAGAAATCACAATATAAATGGCATATAACAAAAACGTTCCCCACAACTTCATATAAACACACAAATATGGGAAGGATTTCAACGAGGACGAGTGAAAAATACAGGTGCATAGTACAAATATGCAACCTCCAATTCCCCTGTGTTTAACTGGCATCAATTCTGTAGCTATTGTAAACCCTACGCCGTTTGAACCGATACCAAAGACGACCATATAACACACCATGAAATAAGCACCCAACATTGAGTCCTTTGACACTATATCTACGCTTTGCAAATACGCTGCTACGGTCATCAAAGTCATACAAACAAAACTCCCTGTCATACTGAACAATAAAATCTTCTTACTGCTAAAAAATCTTGTTAGAATCGTCGTCACAGTGTATCCTATAAAGAATGTGACGTCAATGATAAATTTTATATGCTCGTTCTTATTGCTAGTGAGTTTGAGTGTAATATCGCTTGAATATATTATCACAGCGGCCCCGCCCGTCCAATAAAATATACTAAGTAAAATAAATGTATGAAACGATGGTTTGTAAAAGTCCTTACTGACTAAGGTATGTCGAAGATTCTTAAACCATTCTCCTTTAGGCGGTCTTAAATCGAAATTTTCCTTCTGAGCGTGTATTAAAGCGTTCAATTCCCTCATAGATTCCTTATCAGTACCTCTTAGGCGTTTAAAAACTTCTTCACACTCCTCAAATCTCCCTTTAAAAGCCAACCAGGACGGGGATTCAGGCCAAAACAGCCCTAAAATCAAGGCTAGCATAATTGGACAGCTCATAACTATACCAGCAGTTTTCCAATGCAAATATCTTCCTATAATCCCGACAAATGACATTCCAAAAGCTTGTGATGTGCCGTAGAATAACAAACAAATGTTTCGATACTTCGGTTGTATCATTTCGGACATGCTTAAGAAGCTGACTGTCAGTAAACTGTGGCCTCCAAGACCATGGAAGCATTCTCCTATGATTAAAGTTAAAAGATTATTTGCAGCATATGTGAAGGCCCATCCTATATTTATTAGTATGCAGCTGAGTATGAATGTGAATTTTCGTCCTTGGTACTGCATGAGGAATGGCATTAGGAAGCTTGGTATCCCTGCTAGGCCGTGCACTGAGCCTGAAACAAAATATTGTTTTGTTAATTCGGTATTAAACTACTTACTTCTTTTTGGAGACTGACTCAGAATGAGTCATTGTAATCTGTACTGCTTTCTTATTGATCGATATTCAAAAGGTTACCTTCAAATAACTGTCTGCTACTAGACAGTAGTAACGCGACAGTCGCCGCGTCGCGGGTCGCGGAATGCTGCTCATGAATATGAGCCTCTAGCATGGCTTGAAACTAGTCGAGTTACTCGTCAAATTATTACGTAAGCCGAAAAACATAATAATTAATTTAGTATGCCTCGAGGTTACCTTTAAATTGCAAAAACTAATACTGAAGTATTGATAGATACAAAAATTTGTCCAGTCAAATATACTCTTTGTCTTTTCGTAATGTGAAAGACTTATTCGATTAGGACTGGTAGCTACATACTATGCAAGGTCGAAGACCTATGTATTTAAAAGAATTTTTCTACTCAGTATTTTCAGATCTACGTAATTTGTAGATGATATTTAACGATGTTTGCATGCATTCGTCAAAAACGATAGACGCATTTCACGTTGTCGCTTCGTGGACAGTTTTCATTATTTCTATACGTCCTTACTACGTGAGCTATCTAGAAGCGAACGCGAAGCGGTGCGGCGCGAAAACAACAAACTGTCGAAACATATTGAAGTGTCCTATATGACAATACGCCCATGGGAGTAAGCAATAACCTCCCCACATGGTGCCGAGCGGTGCGAAATGACGCGGTCGCGAGCAGTTGGTTTGATATCGCGCGAACTGACATATTTGTATACGATGCTGTCATGTTTTTCTTTGGTTATAATGATGGAAACAAAAACGAAGCGAAACGATTCTCATGCATGTACGATACAGCCGCCGTGTCGCACCGCATCGCATCGAGTTACCGCTTTATAATCGTGTTCGCTTCTAGATCGCTCACGCAGGACGCAGCGTAAGCAAGATGCAAGCATTTGTCAGTAGTAGGCCGCATATTTTTTTGTGAACTATGCATGCATTCGTCAAATGTCCCAACGTGGATAATCACATAATTAATAATGTCTTACAAACAAATCAAAATACAATAAATAGTTCGACGGTTTATTAATTCTCCGTCACTACCCGACACTGGCAGTATAGTCGACAACATCGTATAGGAGACTCGGTTGCCAAAGAAGAAAAAAAAAGTCTCACCAATCCACGATCCATTATCCAAATCGAGGTGTATGATAGTATCATTGGACCGCAGCTGTTGTAGCAGTACCCCCGGGTACGATACCACTCCGCCCGCCGTTAAAGCTGCTAAATGACAGGAACCCGCTACTGTCAACTGAAAATATACAGAAGTCTATTAATATACTGCCTCGTTGGCCGAGTGGTCGCAAGTGCGACTGCCAGGTCTCGGTTTCGATTCCCGAGTCGGGCAAAGTATTACTGGGTTTTTTTAATAAAGTCTCAGTAGTAGCACGGGGTCTCGAATTGTGCCCGGTATATGGCAATAAGCTCACCCCCTATTACACGGCACTCATAACATAAATAGTGAAAAGTGTGTGTTACATTGTACAGTGGCATAATGTGCACCTCTGCCTATCCCTTCGAAGATAAAAGGCGTGATGTTTACTGTGTAATACCCCTTGCCCGGCAGTCGCACTTGCGACCACTCGGCCAATGAGGCAGTCGGCAGTGAGCAGTGTTATTGTAAATTGAAGGGTTGTCCAGTTAGTCCTATTTCTTTTAAAAACAGTATTCGTTCAGATTAAAAAAAACCTTAAATATTATTCAATAGGGTCAAAAATCGGACGTAATTCATTAGTAGATATAAGATAAATAGCTTACCTGCCTGACCAAAGGTGGAATGTTCATGATATATTAAGTATCACAACACTATTTCATATAATTATGACACCAACACTACCAATGAAACCTTACTGCTCTTCAGTACATCTTGATGTAATTACATGACGCAACTGGGTTCCGTTTTTAAAGGCACCACGGTGAATGAACGACATGTCGTATTTTAAAATTAATGTAAAGTTTTGTCCACAAGTTTGACTGTGTCATTGGTCTGTATTGCCAAGGATGAGGTCTTGGATTTGATTCTTAGGTTGGTCTAGCATTATCTTTTTTTTAAACCGAGACACCAGCGGGGTTACAAGTGCGTTATCGGCCTTTTGGGGATCAGGAATTTGAGGATTGTTGGGGATACAGGGATTGCTGAGATTGGGAAGGGGGTAATTGGGTTTGACGGCCCAAACGTTGTTTCACGTCGGTTTTCTGTGAGGCCGTGGTATCACTCCGGCCGAGCCAGCCCATTCGAGCCGAGGCATGGCTCTCCCACACTTATTATACCTAGTTACTGATTATGTTCGAGATTTTGTTCACATTTTAGATCATTTTTCAGAAAAAGGATTTACTCGAAAGAATTGAGTTCGGTTTTCTATGAGGCCGTGGTATCAGTCCGGTCAAGCCGGCCCATTCGTGCCGTTATCGATATCTTTTTGGTTTATCGATATAATTTTTCAATTTTAACTCTGAGTTTGGAATTGTGGGCGGTGTATGACAATAGGGTTACTCCCATCTATGACATGAGAGTCATAACATAACGGGTGAAAAGTGTTGCTCTCTAAACCTATATACCAGTTACGAAGCACCTCATTGTTCAACGCCTATTACGATACATCCCTGTAACTTCAATGGAACTATTAATCTAATTTGATTGATATATAATTTGATGAATATTAATCTAAATTAACTGCACGTTTGTCGTGGTGGTTGGCCTGACTGACTGCCGCTCAACGTGTCGCGGGTTCGATTCCCGCACGGAACAATTCTTTGTCTGATCCACAGATTGTTCCGAGTCTGCGTGTCATGTGTATGTGAACTTGTATGTTTGTAAACGCACCCACGATACAGGAGAAAATCCTAGTGTGGGGGAATGTTTTTTTAACTATTAGAAAAAAGTTTGTACCATTCTTTACTAGGGCATAAAAAGGCACGATATTTGTACTTATTGATTTGTGTTTAGCAAGAAAATATTCATAAAAAATCTTTCAATTTCTTTGTATTTGTATGGACACGACCTAAATGATGTTGCAAAATTATCAGTACATCCCAAAAGTACCGGTTTGGATATCAGTTATTGCTTTTTTCGGATTATGAACATATTTCTTTGAGATGCATAAAAAACATGTTTTTTGTTCACGTCCCAAGAAGGCCGTGTGATATTAAAATATTTTTTATGAATACTACTTAAACTGATGTTATTTCGTCACGGGTATTACTTAATATCCTTGCATAAGTTTGACATCGAACATAATATTTGAAATCGCCAACCCGCATTGAGCAAGCGTGGTGATTGAAGCTCAAACCTTCTCCGTGTGAGAAGAGTCTTTGCTCAGCAGTGGGCATTTATAGGCTGTTGAACTCATTGTATTTTTTGTCCAAGAACTTTAATTATGTAAAGTGGGTAGGTATTGTATTTATAAACGGTGGCGATAAAGGATTATACATTAAAACGACTCAAAAATACACTAATTGGAGCAGAAACCTGTTCGGAGTCTTTGTTAATTCCAATATTTAATTGCTGACTAAAATTATTGTGTTTTACGAAGCGAGTGCAATTGTTTGTTAAATATCCTTTAGAATTTCAACAATGTTTTCAATTATTATATTTTCGGTTTTCTCACGTAAGTGTTTGACGAGGAACTCGACTAGTTTCAAGGCGCATGCTAGAGGCTCATATTCATGACCAGCATTTCGCGACCCGCTAATTAATTTTGTAATTAATTAATTCAGTATGTGTCCCGAAAAATATAATATAAACAATGTTTTTAGCGACCCGAAATCTTATACTATTATATGTATAAAGCGGAAGAGTTTTTTGTTTGTTTGACCGCGCTAATCTAACTACAAGTCTGATTTAAATAATTATTTTTGTGTTGGATAGCGCATTGATCGAGGATGGCTGGCAATAGGCTATAAAACATCTCGCTACGACCAATAGGAGCTGAGCAGAGCGTGTGAAACCGCGCGAAATTAGCTAGTCGATAATAAACTTTATCAAGTTCTTCAGTCGACGAGACAATCCTATTCGCATTATATTGACAGCAGATCAATCAACAGACATACTTGGTAACATTGTGTTGAAACCGGATTGCCGGTATCTTATCTTCTCGAGCGTATGGCGCGTCGCGTTCCGCTCGTACCTCAAAGAGCACTCAGACCACGGATAAGGCCCAGTAGGGCTGATGCCGATACGGAGCCACGAAAAACTTAACAGGTTACCGGGGCTCCGGCTCGAAGGAGTAGGAGTAGCAAAGGGGAGGTTTTTCGTCAGTAAGAGTCTGACACTCCCTCCCACCTTACTCAGTCGGGAAAAGGCATTCGATGATCCCCCCCCCCCCCCAAAAGCATTTTATTACTTATCAATATATATAAAAATGAATCCCTCTTTCACGTCCTCACAGAAAATCAGCGTGAAACAACGCCGTCGTAAATGGGACCAAAACAAATAATTGGAATCTCTGTCCGTATTACAGGCGTAGTATTAATAGGTACGTTGTTTTATTGATTTCAGACAAAACTGGACATCAGCAGAAATGGGATAGTGGACCAAGAAAATCAATTGAGAGAATTGAAGACGGAATTAAGGAATGTTCAGGTAAGGGCCTCTAGTCCTGTGATAGTGATTCCCAGGATTATAATGGTTTTGGGTTTATTATTATCAATAACTAGCGACCAGCGAAAAAATTGTGTCACTGGTAAAAAGCTACATTATTTTGCTGCGGCAAACGAGCAGATGGATCACCTGATGGTAAGCAATCGGCGACGCCCATGGACACCTGGAATACTTAAGGCGTTACAAGTACGTCGCCGAGGTTTGTTAAAGATTTGAAGATTCAGGGTTCAAGGATGGAGAGGATTGGATATGTTTGTAAATAATAATACTCATAAAATAACGATTTCAATATTTTTTTACAGGCAACCCTAGATAACATAGAGAATCAACTGACCAGAGCGAAGTCGGATGCTAAAGAGAAGTTACTAGAAGCCAAAAAGAGTTGCAATAACAAACTACCGGAAGATAAAGATTTTCCATACAAAAGGGAGTTTGCAGACTTGCCGAGCGAACTGTCGAGGTTGCAGGAACATTGTTATGAGTTGCAGACCAAAGTCGACTTTATGGATAAGGGCGATGAACAGGTGAGTGCACTCCCTAAAGGGGCGGGGCTTGCCGTCATTTGAAAATTGATGATAAAGTCATGTTGGTTGTTATTGTTAATTAAACTGCAGCGTTAGTCGAATTGTTATAAGCGCGATTGTAAGAAAGGGATCACGGGTTCGTTTACCGCGTCGGGCAGTTTTATTGGATTTTTTTTTTAATTTTCGTAACTTGTCTTGTGCGTTACCCAGGCCAGATGTTGTCGAAAATGGTCATTTGAATCTTATAGATAATTAGTTGTGCGGCTTCCGTAATTATTGCGCACATTTTTAAATTTGTTGCGCTTATAGTTTTTTAATTATTTCACAAAAACATTTCCTGCTGGGGTAACGTTACCCCAGCCAGACCTTTTTCTTTCTAATGGGAAAATTTAAATAATTACTAGCTATAAAATTATATGTCTAGATGAAGTAAATGTTGTGCCCTATTTTGCATTTGTTCTTTACAAGCTTTAAAATAACGTTTAAAGTAAGTCTTTAGAGCTCTCTGAGAGTGCTGGAACCAATTGAAGTGTTTTTCTATTTAATGAAATAACTTTTGAGGTATTTATTATTTTGGTTTTTTTATTGCACAAGAAATTTAAACTAATTCCTAAGAAGCCATGGACAAAATATGATAAGAATCCGCTTAACCGTTTCAAAGATCTAGCAAAACCAAAAACGTTACCCCAGCAAAATCTCGAATCACTTCACAACCGATGAAAGAACAAATACAAAACAAGGCACAACATTTATTTCATCTAGAAAACTAATTTTATAGCTAGTAATTATTTAAATATTTCCATTAGAAAGAAAAAGGTGTGGCTGGGGTAACGTTACTCCAGCAGGAAATGGTTTGTGAAGTAATTAAAAAACTATAACCGCAACAAATTTCAAAATGTGCGCAACAATTACAGAAGCCGTACAACTAATTATCTATAAGATGCAAATGACCATTCTCGACAACATCTGGCCTGGGTAACGCACACCAAATTGTCAGTAATGGATTCTAAAGTACCCTGTATATGACAATATACCTGCCCCAAATTCCATGGAACTAGTGATACTTTTATTTTTAGTGTTAATAATCATCTGTTTAATTATTTCATAAACTACGTCTTAAATACCGATTTCAAAACCTTAGTTAATTAATATACCTTCTCTGGAGTATAAAAACACTTTTATAAAAACCGTGTCAATGTCGGTTCAGCCAATCGCCAGATAATCGCGCACAAACATACATACAGGGCAAATTGAGAACCTCCTTCTTTTTTTGAAGTCGACTAAAATTTATATAACGAGGGGTAACGGACTATTTGGTTTAAGCGACATTTTGGGCGATATTGAGTTATTATATATATTCGACAGAGAAAATTGCACTGATTCCGAATATATATATAACTCAATATCGCCCAAAATGTCGCTTAAACCAAATAGTCCGTTACCCCTCGATAAGGTTATCCCCTGTTACAAGAATCTCATAACGTATCTGACAAGAAGTAAATATTACATTAAATACATCCACTACTTTTTATGGGATAAGCCGGTAAACGAACAGACGGATCACCTGATGGTAAGCCCATGGACACCTCTAAAAACCAGAGCCGTGACAAATGCGTTACCGGCTCTTTAGCGACTAAGAATTTGAGGACTGTTAGGGATTCAGGGACTTGGTAATTAGGCCTCCGTTTTTATGCTTACCCTTCATTTAACAATATCTATCTCCAGGTTATAAAAGAATATGAAGAGCGAGAAAGGATGATAGCCAGGCTGAGATCTGAGGATATGAACTCCAGTGATATGACGAAAACGCTCGAAGCTAAGATGATCGCTATCAAGTAAGTATCTATATACTTGCTTTTCTAACTCATGATTTTTTTATTTTACTAAT